CTATGAGTCGGGTCCGACTTGACTGCACATAACAACAACAACAACAGCATATTTTGGAAGCCTCCTGTCTCATCCCTCAGTGTTTGTCTCAGAGCTCCTGTCCTCTGCAGTCCAGAAGCAGAAGCATGAATCCAGGGAGAATAGATGTGTGGCCCAGGGCTGACAGTTGAACTTAGCTTTTTACTTCAGAAGTGTTTTTCTGGCTAGGGAGGGAAGGAAAGCAAGAGACAGCAGACGAGAGAGGAAGGAAGACAACAGAGGAGAGAAGAGGGGAGAAGAAAAAGAGGAAAGGAGAGGGAAAGGGAAGAAGAAGAGAGGAGAGAGAGAGTGAGGAGTGGCGGGGGGGAAGGAGAGAGAAAGCGATCTTAGACCTTGATCCCAATTCTGTCTTCACCGCTGCCAGCTTGACCTTGGGCAAATTCCAAGCCTCATTTGTAAAACAGGAGCAAGGAGACCTCCTCCCTGGAAAGGTCATTGTGAGGACTGGATAAGTGCAGTGCAGTAAATGACAGCACTCATAAATGCCACCCTTTAACCACTTGACAAGGGGGAGTAGCCATGAGAAACCACCACCAAAGTGTTAAACCAGGACCACAGCCAGGCATCAGCCCTTCTCAACATTTGCTTCCCCCTGGTTAGATGAATTTTGATGGGTTCTCCACTGGAAGTAGCTACAGACATACATCTGCCCCAGGGTCAGACAACTGAAGGTTGCATCTTGGAGCATCTGCTAAGAAGCAGGTGTGGGGGTGTGGAGGGGCAGAAGTTAATGAGACAGTTGGGACCCTGCCACCCCAGAGCGCTCAGCCTAGGGGGTCCAGATAGAGCAGAGGTGCCAGAGAGAATCTTGGCACGGGCAGCAAGACAATAGGCCGCAGAGTCCTGCAGAGTTGCTCTGGAATCACAGTGGTTTGCTCATTTATTCTTCCAACCAGTGTTTGAGGGTCTATTATGCTCTGGTGGTGTAGTGGTTAAAGCATTTGGCTGCTAACCAAAAGTGGGTAGTTCGAACCCCTCAGCTGCTCCACAGGAGATAGATGAGGCAGTCTGCTTCTGTCAGCTTTTACAGCCTTAGAAATCCCATGGGGCAGTTCTACTCTGTCCTAAAGAGTTGCTATGAGTCAGAATCAACTTGACAGCAGTGGGCTTCATTTTCTGGTTGTTTTGTGTCAGAAATACTTGGGTGGTACAAACTGTTAATGTATTCCACTACTAATAGGTTGGTGGTTCGAGTCTACCCACAGGTACCTTGGAGGAAAAGCCTGGTGATCTACTTCCAAAAAATCAGCCACTGAAGACCATATGGCACTCAGTCCTACTCTGGCACACAGGAAGTGTCCACGTGTTGAGTGAACTCTAGGACAACTGCGTTTTACCATATGCTAGGTGTTAATTCTAGTTGCTGAGGAAGTAGTGGTGAGCATGATAGACAACATATCCCTAATCTGTTGAAGGTGACATTCTATGAGCTCAGCAGTCCACAACCAAACCTATGACCTTGGGAAAGACCATGCTCAGCATCAACCTCTCCCCAGTGTTGAGTGTGTTAAATAAGTTAATGCATGTGCATGCCTGGCATGAAGGATGCACACAGTAAACAGTGGTGTGATAGGGTTCCACATGGCCCATGGCAAGGACCACCATCCTAAACTTAGGCAAAATCCAAGAAGGCTTCCTGAGGGAGGTGACTGGTAAACTGAGACCTCAGGCAGCAATTATATGCCTAGAACAAAGGTATAGAGACCATCCCAGCTGATTGTAACCTTCCCTGACCCTCCTGTCTGCTCCTGCAGGTCTCCTACCCGTGGGTGAGGAGTCCAACACCCTGGCCAAGGCCACAGCCACCTTGGACCACACAGCAGCCGAACCAGTCACCCTCACCACCTCAGTTCCCCTTCCACCAGGGCGTCCGGCCAGTGCCAGTGCAGAGGAGCTGGTCCCAGGGATTCCCCCGGCCCATGGTCCAGCCCAACTCCCACAAGCGGCCTGTGAGTGCTGGTGGGAAGATGTTCTCGTTTGTGGCGGATAAGGCCCACAAGTCTCCCATCATCAAGCAAGGTATTCATTGGCACTTCTGTTTGTGGCTTATGGGATGGATTTACAGCCACAAGGGCATTTCTTCATTTTTGCTTTTATTTATCTCATATGCTAAAAATAGGACATAGTCAATTCTGAAAAACAATTAGGATAAACAGAAAGTAAGAAAAAAGTTAAAAATTGCCTGTAATCTCTATCACCCTCATTCCCCGTGGACTTTTTGGTGTATATCCTTCCAGTAGCCCTTTGGTGAGTGTGTACCTGAGTATACACATGTATGAAAGTATAATAGGATCTAAACTTATACACGTTCACTCAAATGTGTAGAAATATCAGTAACTGAAAACCTCCTGGCCCACAAGAGCCCTAGAAGGTTTTAAAGTAGCTTATTACCATTTTACAAGTATGAAGGAGACTCGGGTTTATTAAGGAAACTAACTTCCCCAGAAGTGAGATACTTGATCTAATGTAATTTTTTTGGTCAAATTTAAGGGTTATTTCAGTGGCTATCTATTCACAGCCTGGTCACTTTGGGCCACGCACAGCCTTCAGGGTTTCCTTCCTTCTCCTTCCCACCCCCACTTGAAAGCTACCAGGCATTTGGGGAGGAGCTTACTGTCTGCTTTCTGCCTCACCAGCCTCACTGACAGAGTAGCCAGGTCAACTTCTCTGGGCACAATTGTTTTAAGTCTCTAAGTTGGACAATGAATAAGGAAGACCAAAGAAGAGCTGATGCTTTTGAGCTGTGGTTTTGGCGAAGAATGCTGAAAGTACCATGACTGCTATAAGAACTAACAAATCTATCCTGAAAGAAGTGCAGCAGGAATGCTCCTTGGAAGTGAGAATGGCCAGACTTCGCTCACCTACTTTGGTCATGTGGTCAGATGGGACCATTCCCTGGAGAAGGATGTCATGCTTGGTAAAGTGAAGGGTCAACAAAAAAGGGGAAGGCCCTCAACGAGATGGATTGATGCAGTGGCTGCCAGAATGGGCTCAGGTATAGCAAGGATTGTGAGGCTGGCACAGGACCAGGCAGTGTTTCATTCTGTTGGACTAGGGTCGCTATGAGTTGGAGCTGACTCGACGGCACCTGACAGCAACAAGTTTTGGGATACGTAGTTATACAACTTTATTTCACCTTGATTTCTGGTGTCAAGGTCCGATTCTCTGCTCTCTGTCCCAGCTCCACACTCCTCTATGTCCCCAGCTCTCTCGGTACCTCCATACCATCCCCTAGTCTCACTCAGGATCATTGACATAGTCACTCACCTCAGCCATTAAAACATTGTTGTGAAATATACAAGCTGAGGAATGAATGAAATATATCTCTGCAGTATACTTCATTTTCTTTATCAGCATCATCACCACATGAACCCCCATGTACCTACCACTCAAGAAATTGCCCAGCTGGGAGGTTGCCAGGAAAGTCAGGAAGGGATAGGAAAGAAAGATAAATGGAAATGGGAAACACAGGGAGGAAGTGGGAAGAGTGCTATTACATCGTGGCGATTACAATCAGTGTCACAAAACAAAATGTGTGTGAATTTAAATGGAAAACCAATTTCCTTTGTAAACTTTCACCTAAAGCACAATAAAAAATAAAAAGAAGTTATTCGGCCATTTTCCCACAACTTTTCATTAAGAATATTTGCATACAAACAGCAAAATATAAATAAAAAGAATTTTATGGTGAACACTTGAATACCCACCACCTAGATTCTATCATTAGCATTTTGCTACCCTTGACTTATTACATATCTATCTGCTCATTAATCCATCTTATTTTTTGTGCATTTCAAAGTAAATTGCATACAGCTTTAAACTTCCTTTTAACTATTTCAGCATGTGTGCCATTGTCTAGAGTTTAATATTTGGTTACAGTTTTTGTTATTGTATGTAAAATTAACATATAGTATGTATTAGTTTTTAACTGTTACATAACAGAATATTCCGAAACTAAGCAACCTACAACATTAAACATACATGATCATACACAGTTTCAGTGGGCCGGGAATTTGGAAGTGGCTTAGTGTGGGGGCTCTGGCTTAAACTCATGAAGTTATAGTCAAACTGTGGGCCAGGGCTACATTCATCTGAAGGCTTGACTAGAGCTGAAGAATCTGCTTTCAAGATGGTTCACTCACATGGCTGTTGGAAGGAGACCTCAATTCTTTATCACGTGGACCTCTCTGTAGGGCTGCTTGAGTTCCTTCACAAAACGGCAGCTGGCCTATCCAGAGCAAAATGGTCTAAGAGAGCAAGACAGAAGCGTCAGTGTCTTTTAGGATCTAGCCTCAGAAGTGAAACTCCATCATTTTTGCAATATCTTTATTTGTTACACAGACCAGCTCTATCCAATATGAGAAGAGACTACATGAGTCTGAATATCAGGAGGGAAGAATTACTGGTGGTCATTGAGAGGCTGACTATTACAGTTTGCCCTCTGATCCGAAATGGTTCACATCCTTCCTACACATAAAATACTCTCACCTCCTCCGGAGATCCCTAAAATTATCATCCCATTAAAGCATCAGCTCAAAGTCAAGAATCTCATCATCTAAATCAGGTCTTGGTGCACATAAGGAGCTCTGGTGGCATAGTGGTTAATGCATTTGGCTGCCAACCAAAAGGTCAGCAGTTCAAACCTACCAGCCACTTCATGGGAGAAAGATGAAGCAATCTGCTTCTGTAAAAATTTACAGCCTTGGAAACGCTATGGGGCAGTTCTACTCTGCCCTAAAGGGTCACGATGAGTCAGAACTGACTCAATGGCAGTGGGTTTTGGCTTTGGTGCACGTAAAACTCATTGGGTGTAGTTCCTTATTTTCAGCTCCTTGAGTCCAGTGTCTATTGATCTGAAGAAGTGTAAACTAAAGCAACAAGTTTTTTGTCCTCCACACATCCACCATACATTGGTGGAATAGACTTGGGATAACTTCTACAGGCACTTCTGTTCAAAAGGGGGAAAACAGGAGACAAACAAGAACCACTGGCCCCTAGCAATTCTGAAAGAAAGCTGGAATATGTTGGAAGTTCCTTGATTAGGATCAGTCCTAGGAATGATTTCCCTCTGACTCTTGGCTCTGCCCTCTGTGCTCTTAGTTCTGCACTCTGAGCCATTCTACCTTTTCTACGAAAGGTATAGTTTTATTAGTCTGTTACCGACCTGTAGAAGCTTGGGGGTCTAAGGCCTCTTTTACTTTAGTAGTTTTTACTTTCAGTCCAAGCTGGCAGTATTTCTTAGTGGGATTCATTCTATTAGGCAACAGCCACACCCACAAATTTCTTTGACATTAGCCTTTTTCTATTTTGGGTTTCTGCTAAGATTTTTAAGAGACAGCACCCTTAAGCTTTGTAGAAGCTGGATGGTTTGACCTAATAGTTCTCTGAAGCACAGCCTTAGATCTTTCTGAGTTCTTAGCAAAGGATTTTACAGTCACACCTTTAGCTTCATCTCTAGACCATGTTATCTTAAGAGTGACCTTAATATAACCTTTGACCAGAACCTATTTCTTAAATTATATTTCCCATCTGGAGAGGCTGGGATTTTTTTTTTTTTTTTTTCAATTGTGATTTGGGTGAAAGATTACAGAGCAAATTTACTTTCCATACAACAGTTCATACACATTTTGTTTCACGACATTGACTGCAGTCCCCATAATGTAACAGCTCTCTTACCACTTCCTCCCTCTGGATACTCTTTCCCTGTGTCCTTCTTTCCTATGCATTCCTGCACCCTGAGCTACTTCCCTGTGCAAATGCTGCCCTTCTTATCTCCCATGGTTGATTGTTTTAAGGAGTGTACCTACCTGGTGTAAATGTTTATCTTATATGCCTGTTTATTATTTGTCTGGAAGCCACGAGAGTGAGTTCAATTCCAAGCCTGAAGGGTGATTAGGGGCCATAGTCTTGGGGGTTTCAGCAGTCTCTATCAGACCAGTAAGCCTGCTCTTTCTTGTAATTTTGAGTTTTGTTCCACTTTTTCTTCCACTTTATCCAGGATCTTGTATTTTGATCCCTTTCCAAGTGGTTGACAGTGGTAGCCAGGTGCCATTTAGTTCTTCTGGTCTCAGGGTCATGTAGGCTGAAGTTTGCATGGTCCACTAGTCCCTTGGACTAATTGTTTCCATGTGTTTTTTATTTGCTTCATTAGTCTTTGCTCTGGATGAGGAAAGACCAATTGTTGTATCTTAGATGGCCACTTGCAAGCTTTTAAGACTCCAATCACTAGTCACCAAAGCAAGATGTAGAATAATGTTTTTGTATAGTATGTCATGCCAATTGAGCTTGGTGTCCCCTACGACCATGGTCCCAAGCCCATGAACCCAGTGTCTCACTCTCTCAGGGTGTGGCTAAGAAGGTATCAGAAATTTGAGGCTGGGAATTTTTTTTTAATTTTTATTGTGATTTGGGTGAAATTTACAAAGCGAATTCATTTTCCATATAGCAGTTAGTTCGTACACATTTTGTCTCATGACACTGACTGCAATTCCCCACAATGTAATGGTTCTCTTCCCACTTCTTCCCTGTAGTCATCTCTTCCCTGTGTCCTTTCCTGTCATGCACTCCTGCCCCTCAAGCTATCTCCTTGTGCAAACACTGCCCTTCTGTTCTCCCATGATTGATCACTCCAAAGAGTGTGTCTATCTGATGTAAATGTTCGCCCCATATGGCTGTCTATTGTTTGGCTGGAAGCCAAAGGAGTTCCGGACCTGAAGGGTAACTAGGGATCATAGTCTCAGGGGTCTCAACAGGCTCTATCAGATCAGCAAACCTGGTCATTTTTTATGATTTTGAGTTTTATTCCACATTGTTCTCCCACTCTTCTAGGATCTCTTGCACCAATCCCCCTCCAAGTGGTTGACAGTACCAGGCATCATCTAGTTCTTCTGGTCTCATGGTCATATAGGCTGAGGATTGCATGGTCTACCAGTCCCTTGGACTAATTGTTTCCATGCATCTTTGGTTTTCTTCATTCTTTGCTTTGGACAAGGAGAGACTCATCGTTGCATCTAGATGGC